AGAGTACTTACTTAATAGTGTCCAAATGCCTGAGTAGTTCAAGGAGAGCTTTTATGACTGTGGCTGAACCATTGTAGCTAAATCCAGACTTATTAGAATGGTGTGATTAGGGAAAAGAGAGAAGGGGGCAGTTAGTCAGCAATATTCAGCTGGGAATATAAATATGAGCTGCTTAACTAGGGTTTTGTTATAATTTTTAGAACAAAGAATGCCCAGCTAAGAAGCAGATAACAGCAGCAGATCATTTTAACATCATTTTTATTTTTCATTGATAGATAATTTAATATTTTTTGTTAACTCTTGTACTTGTCTTGTTTTCACATTTTTGCAAGATACCTATCAATGGTAAATGCATTCCTAAGTGTAAAGTGTAATTTTTTACTAGCTAAGTTTGAATTATCCATTGTTTTCCCCTCTTTACATTAATTTGTTCATATGGTATTTGCATCATCATCCACATGTTGTTGTTAGCTGCCTCATGTGTATATAGTAGAACTTCTCCATGGGGCTCTCAAGGCTGTGACCTCTTGGGAGCAGATCACCAGGCCTATCTTTTGAGGCACCTGTGAGTGGGTTTCAACCACCAGCCTTTCAGCTAGTATTCAAGCACTTAATCATTTGCACCACCCAGGGACTCCTTCATCATATTCACATATTGTTATGTGTCCTTGACTCAGCTCTGACTCATAGTGACTTTTGTATCACAGAACAGAACATTGCCCAGTCCTGCACCATCCTCACAATTGTTGCTATGTTTGAGCTCATTGTTGCAGCCGCTGTGTCAATCCATCTAATTGAGGTCTCCGTTTTTCCACTTACCCTCTACTTCACCAAACATTGCTTTTCTCCAGTAATTGGTCCCTCCTGAAGACATGTCCAAAGTAGGTGAGGTAAAGTCTCACCATCCTTGTTTCTAAGAAGCATCTGGTTATACATCCTTCAGGGCAAATTTGGTTGTTCTTGTAGCAGTCCATGCTATATCCAGTATTCTTTGCCAACAGTATAATTTGAATGTGACAGTTCTTCAGTCTTCATTTTTAATGACCAGCTTTCATATGTACCTGCGAGAGTCATCAAAGTGACATCTTTGGTTTTTAACACTTTAAACAGATTTTCCCAGTGCAATGTGTTGTTTGATTTCTTCATTGTAGCTTATATAGGCATTGATGTTAATCCAAGAAGAATGAAATCCTTTACAACTCCAGTTTCTTCACCAATTATCATGACATTGTTTATCAGTCCACTTGTAAGGATTTTTGTTTTCTTTATGATCAGATCAAATCCATACTGAAAGGTGCAGTCATTTACCTTCATCAGTAAGTGCTTCAAGCTGTATGTCATCTGTGTATCTCAGATTACTAATGAGTCTTCTTCCAGTTCTGATCTCTACTTCTCAGATTATTAGTTCAGCACATAGACTGAATACATAAAGTGAAAGAATACAACCATGCTGAACACATTTTCCAGTTTTAAACCATGCAGTACCCCCTTGTTCTGTTCTAATGACTACCTCTTGATCCATGCAGAGGTTCCACATAAGCACAATTAAGTGTTCTAGAATTTTCATTATAGTAATTGATATAATATTAGTCATCAAGCATTCCATTTCATTTTTGACAAATTCCTGTTTTCTTTGGTTCATACTTCATACTTTCCCTGTTCTAATTATAGCTGTTGCTTCTCATTTAGCATCATGCCACATCAGCAAATGAAGATCCCAATGACTTTACTCCATCCACATCATTAAGGTAGACTTGACTCTGAGGAGACAGCTATTCTCTAGACATTTTGAGTGCCTTCCAACCTGAGTGGCTCATCTTCCAATACTGTATCATACAGTGTTCTATTTTTATTCATACTTTTATTGGCTAGTTTTTGAAACCATATTTCCAGGCCTTTTTCATAGTTTGTTTTAGTCTGAAAGCTCTCTTGAAACCTGCCCCCCATGGGTGACTCTACTTATATCTGAGATACTGGTAGCATAGCTTCCAGTATCATAGCAACATGCAAGCCACCACAGAAAATGTTTCATCTAACAATGTATTACCTAACTTTACTCCCTAGCAAATCCTTCTTCATCTTGCCCTCTTTTGTCACAGAAATATCTTGAATTTAAATTGCCTGGAAGGGTAGCAGTTTTCTCCAGGAAAATGAGCCTAGAGAGAGACAAGTATTTGTGTACAAATAAAATTCTTAGGCTTAGACTGAAAGATATACATAAAGGCAGGTAATTACACAAAGACAGACTTTCAAAATTGTTTAATAGAACTAAATTATCAATATTTGGGACTACTGGTGGCACCTGGGGCATGTTACAAACTTCTGTCTATACTTGCATCAGTGGTTTTTAACCCAGGCTTCATACTGGAACATCTTGGGGAGATGTTCAAGTATATTGATGCTAAAACCCCACCCGTAGGAGCCTAAACAAAAACCAAATGTGCTTTCAGTAAGTCAATTCTGACTTATAGTGACCATCATTGGGTTTATAAGGCTGTAAATCTTTACAGAAGCAGACTCCCCATTTTCCTTCCACGGAGTGGCTGGTAGGTTCAAACCACCGACCTTTGGTTAGCAGCCATATGTCTTAACCACTACACCACCAGAGCTCATTTTGGGGTAGAGCCTAGGTATCTCTTTTGGTTAGCCAGTGCCACTCTGACAGGAATATACCACAAACAGAGATAGCTTAAACAAACAGGAGTTTATTCTCTTACAGTTTTGGAGGCTAGAAGTCTGAGTTCAAAGTGCCAGAGTCTAAAGGCTGGGTGAAAGCCCCTCAACCTTGGCCTTCAGCTCTGCCTCTGCTCCCACCACTCTGAAGCTGAAGGCTTTCTTCACTCAGGCAGCAGCTGGCTGGTGAGGCTGACAAACCCAAGGTCGACAAGTGAAAAGGCTCATAGTGACCCCTCCTTGGGTTTCGGAGGCAGTATCTCTATGGCAGTAGATTGTCCATTCTTCCTCCTGAGGAGTGGCTGGTGGGTTTGAACTGCCAGCCTCCTGGTTAACAGTCAAATGCCTTAGGCACTACACCACCAGAGCTGTTTTTTTACTTCAGTAAAAAGGCACAGTCCCAATATACCAAACCACAATGAAGGCCACTGATTCAAGTCCATTAACAGTTTCAAGATTGGCAGCAACTTGGCAGGCTCCTCGATGACTTGGCTACATGCAGGTTCAGGCATGCCAAAAGCTGCAGGCCATTCCCAAAGCTGCTCCTTATATACTGGAAGCAGACCACATTCCTTAAAGCAGCTACTCAGCGGCTCATAGCAGATCCACCGTGGAGTTTATTGTAAGTCTCATCATGAGAAATAACTACAACCAGCTGCCCAGCCACTCAAAACCAGGCCCAGCCAGGAAGGCACATAACCTTAACTAACACAATGCCTGTATGTTTTTTAAGTTCCCTAGGTGGTTCCATTGTTCAACCATGGTTGAAAACCACTGATTTATATTAACAGAGAATATGTATTAACAAAATCTCAAGAAGTTGCTCTATAAAACATTTTTGGATCCTCTGTAATTGCTTCCCTTTGGTGGATTCCATCTTTGTTTCTCAAAGTAGTCTATACTTTTGGAAATTTTATTAGCACAGTAGCCTCCCCCTTACTCACAGTTTCACTTTCTGCATTCTTATCCATGGTCAATCGTGATCTGAAAAAATTAAATGAAAAATTTCAGAAGTAAACAATTCATAAGTTTTAAATTACAACTGTTCCGAGTAGTGCAATGGAATCTCATTCTGTCTTGCTCAGTCCTGCCTGGGTCGTGAACCATCCCTTTGTCTAGTGTAAGCATGCTTTTTATGCTATGTACCCATTAGTAGCTGTCTTATTTATTAAATCAACTGTGGCAGTATTGCAGTGCTTGTCCTCAAGTAACCTTTATTTTACTTAATAGTTGTCTTATTTATTATTTTTTAGTTTTATTTTTGTTGTTGTTGTTGTTGTTATGTGCCGTCGAGTCAGCCCTGACTCATAGCGACCCCTCCTTGGGTTTCCGAGGCAGTATCACTACGGAAGTAGGATTGCCCAACCTTCCTTCCGAGGAGTGGCTGGTGGGTTTGAACCGCCAGCCTTCTGGTTAGCAGTTAAGTGCCTTAGCCACTATGCTACCAGAGTTTTATTTTTAGTTGTTGTTAATCTTTTACTATGCCTAATTCATAATTTCAACTTTATGATAGGTATGTATGTATAGAAAAATTATAGTGTATGTATAGAGTTCAATACTATCTACAGTTTCAGGCATCCACAGGGTGTTTGGAACATATCAGCACTGAATAAGGAGAACTATAGGAGCTCTGGTGGTGTAATGCCTAAGGCTATTGACTGCTAACCAGAAGCCTGGTGGTTCAAACCCACCAGCCACTCCTTGGAAGGAAGATTGGGCAATCTACTTCTGTAGTGATACCATCTCAGAAACACAAGGAAGGGTTGCTATGAGTCAGATCCAACTCAACGGCATTGAGTTTTGTTTTGGTTACTGTGTCACCTGCTCACACAGTTTCTGAGTGAGGTATATGTTAATAGTTCTCTGCTTTGGCTAAGGATCTCTTGTGGCTCATTGGTTAAGCTCTTGGCTGCTAATGGCTGCTAACCAAAAGGTCAGTGGTTTGAACCCACTAGTTTCACTCCAGAGGAGAAGATACCTGGCAATCTGCTTCCATAAAGATTACAGCCTAGGAAATACAATAGGGCAGTTCTACCCTGTCCTTGTAGGGCCGCTATGAGTCAGGATTGCCTCAGCAGGACATAGCTGCCACCATTGCTTTGACTGAACATTAGATTAGTTCAGGAATTTTTACAAATCCTAATGCCCAGTCCAATTAATTCTGTTTTCTTGGGTAGAACTGAGGCATCCGTTTTTTTTTAAGCTTGCTAAGTAATTCCATATCATGGCAAGTTTTATTATCACTAATCTAAATAAATATTTATTAGTTAGATTTTTTTTAGTTGTTTGGTAAAGTACATTCTCACTCTTAAGTTTTTCTTTTTCAGGATATTATTGATAGACTTATAATTTTGAATACTGAAGCTAAGATTCGTTCTTTATTTAATTATGAACAATCACATATCTTTGGACTAAGGTAAGATACTAAATTTTACTTCAGATATTGTATTTTCTGTGTTTCAAATTATTTTATATATATTTTTATGAGTTAAAATTATGTAAAATAAGCTAATTTTTAAAGCAAACTTAAAGGTAAATTTGTCTCCTAACGTTATAGACAAAGAAAATTATAACCATTAGATGTTTGTACCATGGTCTTTGTCTTCATTTATGTGCTGTATTATTATAATAAAAATACATTATTTCTCAGTATCATAGAGACATTTTGGGCAAACTGTTTCATTTAGCTCACTTTGAAGTGGGGCTTTCTAGCATTGGTACTTGATTAGAATCTTGCTGTAATACAATCTTCAAAAAACACCTGGAAAATGGATGAGTCATCTCTTCTTGGCCCAAATTTTGCCTTTGATATTATTCATTAATCTTCAACTTTAGTCTTCCTGAGATTTATATCTTTCTGGTTAGGTTTATGGTCCATGACATTTTATTTAACATATTCAAATGGAAAAGAAAATAGAGATGTTTGGATTATAGACTTGCAAAATTTTTAATCTTTTGGTCATTTTGTAGACATATAACTTCCTTCCCCTACCTATGAATTATTACTGTTAAAAGCAGCTGACTTAAAGTATTTTCAGTTTTATTGGTTCATGATTTTTTCCCTCCATCTGCTAACAAACCTTGGTGGTACAGTGGCTAGGCACTTGGAACCCACCAGCGCCTCTGTGGGGCAAAGATCTGGTAAAGATTATAGACTAGGAAAACCCTTTGGGGAAGTTCTACTCTGTCTTTTACAGGGTCGCTATGAGTCAGAATTGACTCAACAGGAAACAGTAACAACAATGGCTAACAGTAATTTTTTCAGTCAGGAAGTGCTCAGTGAGGATTTTCTAGTTAGTTAAGGATGAAGCAATTACTTTTCTAAACTTGGAATTCTCTGATGTTCATATATTCTACAGATCTTACACTTTTTTTTTTTTTTTTTTAACATTCATTAATAGCTAAGCTTCATCTTTGGGTTTTCTACTTCAAAAAAAAGTGTTAAAAACCTGCAACTGTTCTATCATTTTGCCTGATATGCCCTTTATCTGAAAATGTATTTTCACATTATGTTTTAACTTTCAGTATAGCATCAGGTATATCACATAGCCAGCAGCTATGGGAAATACTATGAAATGTCATTTGATAGAACTTCCTTTTGCATAGCAAGTATGTTTCTGCGTTTTATAGTTATGAAATATAAAATTTGGCATATAGATGTATTGAGTGAACGTCCTTTTTTCTGTATATTTCTTTTAAAGAATAATAATTTTCTCTAATGCTTTTTTGTAAAAAAATTAACAATAGGATCTTACTAAATTATGTAAAAAGCAATTTAAGTGAAATGTTTCTGAGAATAAATTTTTAAAATTTGCATAATGCCTATTTTCTTATAACATCCAAATGGAGTCACTCTATCTTAGGGGGTCTAGGAAATTTTTGATATAATAGAGGCAGTACAGTATAGTGGCTAAAAGTATGGACTCTAGGGTCAGATTACCTGCTGTTTACTAGATACATGAGTTGGTACCTCAGTTAGTTATTTGTAAAATGGGGCATAATCATAGTATTTCCCTCATAGAGTTATTGTCAGATTTTATATTAAATATTAAATGGGTTTAAAATGGTGTCTGGCACAAGCAAGCAGCATAATAGACGACAGCTGGTGGGGGTGGGAGTGGGAGTGGTTTAAGTGCTTCTTTATCTACTGGCTGTGCAGTGTTTTTGTGTTTTATTACAAAATATGTTGGGTTTCATTTTTCATTATCTCAGTAGTCTGCCACGCACATTCCAATACTTTGCTACATTTACAACTTCACTATTCAAACAAAGAAAGTGATAAAACTGCTTTCTGAGGAAAACTTTGTATTTTAACTTTATATACATGTTACAAAAAAAAAGTACTTTATTGGGTTTTCTTTAAAGGTATATTTTATTGTTTCTTCAGTAGAAATTTATACAGAATATTAGGTTCCCATTTGAAAATTTCTACACAAGTTGTTCAGGAGCTCTGGTAGCATAGTGCCTAAGGCACTTGACTGCTAACCAGAAGGCTGGCAGTTCAAACCCACCAACCACTCCTCAGAAGGACGGTTAGGCAATCTACTTCCGAAGAGATACTGCCTCAGAAACCCAAGGAGGGGTCGCTATGAGTCGGGGCCGACTCGATGATGGCACGTAACAACAACAACAACACAAGTTGTTCAGTGGCATTAGTTACATTTTTCATGATGTGTCAACGTTCTCATTAATTGCGTTCTGGTAGTTACATTGCATTTTGAAGTTCATTTTCATAATGATCTTTAATTTAGTTATATTTTTAACTGTACATATAAGGTTAGATAATTTACTTTCAATTTTCTATTAATTTCAGTATTGTGATCCATTGTTGATAATTTAAATAAGAGCTCTGTAATATATAAATCTTGTGTTTCTAAGTGATTTGAATTTTTACTTGTATTTTTCTTTTCTGCTTCCTGTGTTTTTATTAATTTCTATTTATACCTTCATTGTACCATTTCTTCAGTTATTCATCTCATTTACTTATCTTTCTTCTGAGTTTATCCTATTTCATGCCATTTATTTGAGTTTTTCCTTTACCTCAAATATCTCGAAATAGCATTAAAGTTTGATATAACTTCTTTAGGTTTGACACAACACTTAGATGAGGTTTAATTAAATGTGAATTTTCACTTTTCAACAGCATCACCTTCTATTTAAATTTCTGAATTTTTTATTTGCCAAAATCATCATACAGATCTTAACATTATAAGTGATTAAGAAAGTTGTTCATCCAATTAGCCCTTCTTCTGTTGTTTTTCTCCTTTTCTGCTGGGTTATTTCTATCACATTTGCCTTCATATGTGCCATATTCTAATGAAACAAAAAATAATACACAAAAGAATTTCTCTTGGTCTCACGTCTTCTGCAGCCACTGTCCTATTTCTTTACTTCTCACCATAGTGAACTTGCTTAATATAAGCTGTACTTGTTCACCCCATTTACTTGTCAACTCACTTTGATTCGACTTTCATTCTACCACTCTGTTAAAACTGTTCATGTACTCATCCCAAAGTCCTGATAATATCCGTGCTGATAAATCTCTAGTGGACTCTTCTCTTTTTAATCCTTCTCTTACCATAATTATCAGTATCATTTGATATCATAGATCATTCCCTTCTGCGCAAAAAATTACCTTTGCTTCTGTTATACAGAGAAAACCAATGATATTGAATGATGATAGAATTTGTTACCCATGAAATATGTAGTTTTCACATTGAAGTACAATGTCTTAGGAAAGATTATAACATTCTTCTATAATCTAACAATTGTTGAGAAAATCTGAAATGGCTGAGGCTTGAGCAGGATCAGAAGTTTCCAGACGACTGTTCTGGTCAATCAGCATGGCACAGCTCATCATAAATGCTCAATAAATGCTAACTAAATATGTAAAATAGAGAAGAATAAATAAAAATGATAAATCCAATTCTGTAATACTATATAAAAAGTACTAGATATCTTATTTTAGTACACGGATAAGCTCAGATTTGCTTAATCTCCCTCTGTGACACACACACGTGTGTGTGTGTGTATAAAATATATATATTTTAAGTACCGTAGGTGATTCCACTATTCAACCATGGTTGAAAACCACTGATTTATGTTAACAGAGAATATATATTTAGAAAATGTCCAACAGTTGCTATGTAAAACATTTCCAGATTGTCTATAATTGCTTCACCTTTGTGTGTTCCATCTTTGTTTTTCAGAGTGGTTTACATTTTTGAAACTTTTGTCGGTACAGTAGTCTCATTTATCTGCGGTTTCACTTTCTACAGCTTCAGTTACCCATGATCAACTATAGTCTGAGAATGTTAAATATAAAATTTCAGAAATAAATAATTCAGAAGTTTTTCATTGCTCGCCATTCTGTGTAGTGTGTTGAAATCTCATGCTGTCCTGCTCTGACCTGCCCAGGTCATGAATTATGCTTTTATCTAGCTATCTATACTGTATGTACCACCCACCGTTAATCACTTAGTAGTTGTCTCAGTTGCCAGATCAACTGTTGCAGTATCACAGTGCTTATGTTCAGGTACCCATTATTTACTTAACAGTTGTTCCATTTATTATTATTATTTATTGTTGTTAGGCTCTCACTGTGCCTAATTTATAAGTTAAACTTTATGACAGATATGTATGTTTAAGAAAAAACATAGAATATATTGGGTTTGGTGCTATCTCCGGTTTCACACATCCACTGGTGGTCTTGGAGTGTATCCCCTGTGGATAAGGGGGACTCCTGTGGCTGCAGTTTTTCCTCCTTTGCATCCTGTAAACAGTCTCTAAATGTTGAAATACTCAGGACTTAGCCCTGAGCCCACATTTTCTGTACACTTTGCCCTGGTTGATACCATTCACCCCTTGCCTTTAAATACCATCTATAGTCCATTGTACCATAACAAATTACCATAACATTATGAATAATGTGAACTCTAGCACATTTAGTAGTGCTCATGCAGATCCTATACATGGATCAGTAGGCAGTCATTTGAACAGAATGAGGGCTTATTTCAGGGTTCCCTAATGGAAAAAGTGCATGTCAGGGTTGGATTCTTCCACTTAATTTATTTAGTCTGTATGCTGAACAAATAATATGAGAAAATGGACTATATAAAGAACATGGCATCAGCTTTGGAGGAAAACTCATGAACAGCCTGCAAAATGCAAATTATACAGTTGCCAATAATGAAGACAACTTGAAGCCTTTACTGATGAAGGTAAAACTGCATCCTTCAGTATTGATTACAACTGAATGGGAAGAAAACAAAAATCCTCTCAAATGGACTGATAAAAAAAATCTGATAAATGGAGAAAATAATGAAATGAAAGATTTCATTCTGCTTGGATCAAAAATCAATTTCCAGGGAAGCAGCAGTTGAAAAATGTAGTACAGTTAAATGATGTAATGCATTG